GACTTCACTGCCACAGTGTCACTTTTTTCCTCTGAGTCTGCCCCTTTACAGTTTTTATACTGCCCCTGAGATGTGTTACCATAGCTACCTGGAATGGCAATAAGTTAATCAGTATTCATAGTTTAGCAATGAAACATTAGTTCTAGGATGACACATTTTCACTTGACTTTGTAACTCATAATTTCTCAAACTCATGCTACAGTTTGTAAAGCATAAAAAGTCTGTAAACGGGCTCTATATTGAAGTTGATGACTTTATAGCACAACCCATATACAGATCTATTCTGTTATACAATACCTTTTCCAATAAGATTGCCTATGCTTAATTTACTTCTAGGAATAAGGAAATCACTGACATTTTGTCGGATTGCTTCATCCTCAATACGTCCCAACAGCTCACTGATATATGGACCAGAATCTAGAAAATGTGAGATAAACTTGGCTATCAATACTAAAGTAGTTTTTCTTTTGTGTTGAAAACTGTTTTTATGGATCTGTTTATTTTTGGTTATGTAAAACTTTAAGAAAATATCTCTGGTTGTTTTTATTCCAATTTTGATTTTGTTTACCATCCCTTTGTTCACTAGTATGAAAATTTCCCAAAATACTTATCTATTTCAAAAACGAAAATTAATTCATGTTTAAAATGCAAACAATTTGGGCAAAGATCATGGTTTTTTTTTTTTTTTTTTTTTTTTACAAGAAATGCCTTTCAAATTGACAAGTTTATTGAAGGAAAAACAGACATTTCTCCTGTAAAGAATTACTATAAAAAGGGAAAACTTCGCCCCTATTTTATTTCCACCCATTTTGCCCTTGACATAAGTGGGTGAATTTAAGCAGTGCGAAATAGAAGAAAAATGTATGATTCATTGAAAAAAACTGTGAAAAGGTGAAATTAAAACGGGGCAAAATTGTTTGGAAGAGTGAACAGGCGAAAATAACACGGTGGAACATAACCCTGTATACAGTATCTCTCTTACCAGAGGGTCAATAAGCCTTAAGTAATATATAAACATGTTCTTAAATCAGGTACATTACCTCCATTGACTATCTGCCCATTCATGTCAGCTTTAACAGACATGCTGTTCATTCCAATCTCCTCCTCTTCCTCCTGCTCGTGGTCCTTCAGAAGTTCCGGTATGGCGCCCTCTGGTGGCTTGTTTTTACGCTGACGTCGTATGATACAAATTGTCAGAAGGGCAATGATTGCAATCATTGGAATCACCACTCCGAGAATGATCCCCATGGCGATTGGTTTTTCTGAAGAAATCGGGCCTTCTGGATCTGTAGGTAAGATAATTTAGTTAAAGATTCATTAAAACTTTAAAAGCAAGCCTACCAATGCAGTGTATTTGGTTTCATTTTTAGAAAAAAATATTTTTAATTTCTTGTGAATCTTTATTCTTTAAAAAAAAAATGAGCATATCTCTGCAACTGCATAACTTGTAAATAATTCTTTTTGAACATTTACTGTTTTTGAATGCTCCAATTCTCCAACTTAATATATATAAAATGACAAATGTATACAAAGACTTGCAAAATTACAACAATAACAAAAATAAAATGAATAATAAATGAATAAAACATTAACTCTTTCATCATTACATGATTATTTCCCTATGTATGTTACACCCTAACCTGTGTATGTTAAGTACCCAACATTTTCCTGAAAGTTCCCAACTTCTATCTGAAAAGGAAAATGTACAAGCTTTTCAGACTACATTTTGTCTTCTTTTTTTTTCTTTTTCATTGTGATCTCATCACAAATTCTATCCAATCAGATTCCATGACACAAACTTACAGCTACTCTGGCTCGTCCATGTCTCATTCCTTCTGGTTGGTCAGGTGGGATACATGTGATGTTATCTGATGACACCTGTATATTGGTACACTGATCTGTACCAACCAACACTCTCAGATCATGGTATGGTTGAATGGAAGAAAATGAGGATCCCTAAAGAATAGAGAAAGACATTTGCTGATGAATCTCACCTACTTCATGCAAGACTAAGCAAAAATAAACTTAGGATGGATTGATTGCATATTGTTTAACGCCCCTCTTGAGAATTTTTCACTCATATGGAGACGCCGCCACTTGCCGGTGGAGAGTTGCAAATTTTTCCCTATAATTGGCACTTAGGGCCATTGAGCGGGGAGGGATCTATTTCTTGAACACCTACTGCAACACGGGACCTCGGTTTATATGGTCTCATCTGAAGGGCTGGTCTCCATGTTGCACAGTAGGATTCGAACCCACGACATAAGGATCAACTCCTGCAGACGCTCTAATCACTGTGCCACCCAGGTGACAAATAAAAGATGAAGATCACTAAATGTAAAATAAAAACAAGTCTTTCTTGAGACAGTTTTCCCATCTCACTTTTTCCTAGATAACCACGTTTCCCTTCTCACACTTACCCTGATAACTAGAGATTTTCCCTTCATATAACTGACATTTTCTGGCAGTTTCTCCAACACAGGATCAGGATAGTAGAAGAATGGATGGAATGGAGAACTATGGGACACATTTTTCCACTTCTCTACATTGTCCAGAATGAGGCCGAAGTGAACAAGGCGAGGCTGACCAGCTGAGATCATTTCCCCTGGGGATAGGGGGAGAGGAGGGGTGGGGCACTTCAGGCACTTAAGTTTACTCAACTCATCTGCGCATTTCTGTAAATATCAAACATAACTAACTTCCTTGTCATCTAGAGCAACTTGAAATTTCTAAAGAAAAAATCTCAGAACAAAAGCATAAACTAGTCTTAATCAAAAACAGGAAAACAAATAAACTATGAGGATATTTCAGTGTCAACATGATCTTATCTTGCATTTACACTTGTCACTATATGATGCAGGACATGAAATAATAGTTCAAAACAACAATTTCAGTGAAATTATTTCGGTGTATTAATTTTATTTACCAGAGCTGAATCTTCATGTCCTTCCAGAAATATCAGTCTCCTTTGTATGAGGTTTAGTCTCTTCCCACAGACTTGCACATAGACACCACCACTATAAAAACAAAACAGTTCTATTACAATTATATACAGTTATGTACAAAATTTATTTGGGGGGGGGGGGTTACCCGACAATGCTCAAATCACGAGAATAATAATTAGCAAATGGACTGTTGAACAAGAGAATTACAGACCTGTTTACCCTTACCGTCGTCTCTCAGTATTTTTGATCAGATTTGTCCGTGAGATTTAACATTTGCCAGTAAGATTTCGCTTCCCATTGATTTTACGTATATAATTGTAGAACAACTGCTTTTTTGATTATCAAAACATGGTTAAATACATGTAACGTGTTCTTTGTCATGTTATACCACAGCATTTTTGGCAACTTGAAATCGTCGATGTCCTTTAATTTTTTCTTTTACAGTGATTAAAGGGCGTGAAACTGAGACAGATCATAAGGATGATTGATTGATTGTTTAATATATCTCAATAATTTTTTACTCATTAAGATGCAACCACCTGCCCGTGGAGAGCTGCGAATTTTGTCCACTACTCAGCACTCAAGGCCATAGAGCAGGGAGGGGTCTGTTTCGTGCCAGCACCTATTGCGACACGGTTTATATGGTCTGATTTGAAGGACAGGTCTCCAAGTCACACAAGTGGGATTCGAACCCTCGACGTAAGGAGCAAGTCCTTACTGTGCAACTCTTAGAGCAGACGCTCTATACACTGTGCAACGCGGCCCCAGCAACCAGATCATTACAATTGATTGTCAATGACTGTTGCTGTTTTAAGCCGAGTAGGCATTCTTTCATCAATATTTCAGCAGATCATAAAGAAAACTAACTCCTAAATTCCAAACAAACGTATTTCCATATTTTCATAATAGCAAAACATGAGACGTATTTTTGATTAAAAATCCGTAAAAAATACGGCGAAATCGTAAGAGTAAACAGCTCTGGAATTAACATGGGTTTCAGCACCATATAAGTTAAAGAGAGAAATTTTATCTTCGTGAGTGATGCTTCTCACAAAATTATGCGATAATGAATTCCTAGCTTATAATTTGGAATCTACAGCAGTGCTTTTATAGTGAGATATCCAGGTAATTTCTATCAATGAAGTCATCTGACAGTTCAATTATAATAATATACATGTATGTAAGTAATTTTGGGAGCCCTATCTGACAGTGTTTTCATAATAAGGTATATAGGTAATTTCTGAATTTAGCACAACCTGACAGTGCTGTTATACCATAATAAGTAGGTAATTTGGGGAGTTTTACCTGACTGTGCTGTTATAACGAGATATGTAGGTTATTACTGGGTCCTCTGTATAATTGAATTTGTCAGTTAGAAGTCGTTTAAATCCTCCAAAGTCCACCTCTACTTCTCTTTGTCCCACTCCATTTACAGACTTAGATGTCATGCACTGAATTTCATCTGCCATCACCCTGTGAAAGAGAATAAAGAAACCTCAATTCTAAAGGCACAAAATAGAAATAGCTATTTTTAGTCTTGTCAACATAATACTCAAAATTTACTTTTTTATAGGTCTTATTTCCTTGCATTTGTGTTTTTAGTACACTTGTACAAAAGTTTAATAGATTTGCATTCTACATTCAGATTTCATACAGAGTAGACACAATTCAGTAAATAGAGGGCATCACAGTGATATGCTATGTGATATACTATCATTACACCAGGTAATGCTATATAGTTCAGCCAGGTTTACACGAACAACCAAAGAGACTATATCGCATGATTAATGCATCTAACTGGCCCTCAACTTAGAAATATTTTAAAAAACACATGCATTATCTAAGAATAATCTGTACCCCTCCTTTTCTTTTCCTGTCTCTTAGTATCATCCCCCCTCTCTCTCTCTCTCTAACATACTGTAATTCTTACAAGCTTAAGGACTTCCTACTGTATCAAAATTTATCAGTGACCTTCTGTCTTCACCTTCTTAACCCCCCCCCACCAATCTCTTTCCCTCCCTCCCCCTCTTTCTCTTAAACATACTGTGTCACTTCACAAGGGCTCCAAGCTATATCCACATTTATCAATGACACTATACCCCCCTCTCTTTCTTTCTAACATACTGTGTCACTTTACAAGGGCTCCCAGCTATATCCATATTTATCAATGACCCTATGCCCCCCTTCTTATCCCCTCTCTTTCTCTCTAACATACTCTGTCACTTTACAAGAGCTCCCAGCTATATCCACATTTATCAATGACCCTATGCCCCCCCCCTCTCTCTCTCTAACATACTGTGTCACTTGACAAGGGCTCCCTGCTATATCCACAGTTATCAGTGACCCTATGTCCACATTCCCTCCAAATATCCTCAGTAAGGTGCCTCCTGATTGGGGTCCTTTGTTGGGGTTCATACCAATCACTTTGGGAATCTTAAAAAACAAGATGTGTTTGTGAAACACTGATGCCCCCGTCTGGCAACATAGAAAAGATTAAACTTTTCTTATATGCAGATTTAATATATTGGTATCCAAAGTAGGGTATTCTCACTGGAAACACAATTGTAAAATATTAAAGTAGGCCAAGGTTAAAGTTTTTTCATAAGTACGGAAATCTCCAAGGTCAAAGCAATTAGTATCTCATTAAAGGTCTTGCCACAAAGAATACATCTGTGAAATATGGAAGCCCTAGCCCTAATCCTTCAAAAGTTATAGCCAAGGTTACCGATTTTAAAAAAGTGGGTCTAACTCCAAGGTCAAAGGGTCATAATTCTTGATTAATGATATCAAATGAAAGGTTATGTAAGAAGGATTACATATGTGAAGTACAATATCACTGGCCCTTGGCGTTCAAAAGCTATGGCCAAGGTTAAAGTTTTTTTTCATAAGTACGGAAATCTCCAAGGTCAAGATCAATAGGTCAAGGTTATTGGTATCTAATGAAAGTTCTTGCCATAAAAAAAATACATATGTGAAGTGTGTAAGCCCTAACCCTAACCCTTCAAAAGTTATGGTCAACTTTACCAATTTTGAAAAGTAAGTCAAACTCCAAGGTCAAAGTCAAAGGGTGAAATTAGGTGGTTTCCAAAGAAAGGTCTTGTCATAAGGATATGTAAAGTATGAAAAGTTATGGGCAAGGTTAAAGTTTTTGCAGACAAACAGAGAGACAGAGAGACGGACGGACACAACAAACATAGGTAATCAGAGATTACAGAGCTCACCTCAACGAATGTTGTCTTTAAGTAAGGCAAAGTCACACAATTAACCAACAAAAAGTGTACATTCCAGAAATGAAAATATTTAAGCAATTTTGATCGAATACATTGAAATAGACCTACCGGTACATAAAAAATTTAAACTAGTTGTTCATGAAAATGTAATTAAAATTAAGCATCTGAAGCAAATTTGAGAGTTTTCATCTCCTGATGCAACATTTGTGCAAGTTTGGTTTGGTTTATACAATGTTATATAAGCCTTCAAGTTTTTTGGTAATTGACCTGCACCCATAACTTTTACCTGGTCTATTATCTGAAAAAATGTATGTCGAATTCAGCATCCAAAGTAAGTCCATTAGTGTGCATCCTAAGATGTATTGTCCATGCAAGTTTGCTCATTATAGGGCTCATAGTTAATTGGAAATGATACATTCATCACAAACTAACATTTTCACTCATCCACAAAATGTAGGTCAGATTCAGCATCCGAAGCAAGCCTGGTAGTATGCATCCTTAGATGTATCATCCATGCAAGTTTGGTCAACATAGGGCTTATAGTTACTTGGAAATGAAACCTGCACCAAAAACTTTAACCTGTTCACTCAACCAGAAAATGTAGGTCAGATTCAGCATCTGAAGCAAGCCCGGTAGTATGCATCCTTTGATGTATCATCCGTGCAAGTTTGGTCATTAAAGAAGTCATAGTTACTTGGAAATGAATTATGCATCAAAAACTTTCACCTGCTCACTCAACCGGAAAATGTACATTGTAGATCAGAAACAGCATTCGAAGCAAGCCTGATAGTATGCATCCTTAGATGTATCATCGATGCAAGTTTGGTCAACATAGGGCTTATAGTTACTTGGAAATGAAACCTGCACCAAAAACTTTAACCTTATCACTCAACCGGAAAATGTAGGTCAGATTCAGCATCCGAAGCAAGCCCGGTAGTATGCATCCTTAGACGTATCATCCATGCAAGTTTGGTCAACATAGGGCTTATAGTAACTTGGAAATAAAACCTGCCCAAAAAAATTTAACCTGTTCACTCAACCGGAAAATGTAGGTCAGATTCAGCATCTGAAGCAAGCCTGATAGTATGCATCCTTAGATGTATCATCCATGCAAGTTTGGTCAACATAGGGCTTATAGTTACTTGGAAATGAAACCTGCACCAAAAACTTTAACCTGTTCACTCAACTGGAAAATGTAGGTCAGATTCAGCATCCGAAGCAAGCCCGGTAGTATGCATCCTTAGATGTATCATCCATGCAAGTTTGGTCAACATAGGGCTTATAGTTACTTGGAAATGAAACCTGCACCAACAAATTTAACCTGTTCACTCAACCGGAAAATGTAGATCAGATTCAGCATCCGAAGCAAGCCTGATAGTATGCATCCTTAGATGTATCATCCATGCAAGTTTGGTCAACATAGGGCTTATAGTTACTTGGAAATGAAACCTGCACCAAAAACTTTAACCTGTTCACTCAACCGGAAAATGTAGGTACGATTCAGCATCCGAAGCAAGCCCAGTAGTATGCATCCTTAGATGTATCAACCATGCAAGTTTGGTCAACATAGGGCTTATAGTTACTTGGAAATGAAATCTGCACCAAAAACTGCACCAAAAATGTTAACCTGCTCCAAAAACATTAACCTGACCATTACTTTGCTGAAATTGCAGCATCTGAAACTTTGACTGGTACAATGAAACACATTAGAAGCATCTTCCATGCATGTCTAATCAATATAGGACATAGAAGTACTTAAAAAGAAAACTGCTCCAAAAAACTTAACCTGGGACGCCAACGCCGACGCCGACACCGACGCCGACGCCGAGGGTATTACATAAGCTCCCCCAACTTCGTTGAGGTGAGCTAAAAACTATATACCCCCGAAACTTTGTTTACGGGGCCATAAAAAGACATTTATAACAATCAGAATAGCTCAAATGTTGCCAATAGGTACAATCATTATGTTTCAAATACAATAAAACTTCATTATAACAAACTTAATGAGGCTGATACCTCATTTTAACAAACTCAGTGAAGCTGATAAAACTAAGATACTTAGGATATTATTCCACTGACCACGAAGCTGAAGACACTGTCAGATTCCGTTTTATACAGTTTATCCACCTCCACTGTGATTGTGCCATTTAGTGGAGAATCCACTTTGTCTGTCAGACACTTAAACCTGGAAAAAAGAAACTGAAAAATAAAATCACATTCTCCTTAAACTTTATGAAACACCATACAACATAATGTAAAATCACATATTTTCAAGGTGTCAAACTCTCGAGGTATGATGAAAAAATCTTGGTTTGTGGGGACTTGATTTCATGGATGGAGAATGTTTAGTGGTAATGTATATCAAATTTTACTTTTCGTGATGGTCATAAAATTGTGGGTCTCTCCTTGCCTAGAAAAAACGAAAATAACCCCCCACGAAAATTAGTGATTTCACAGTAAGTAAAATTTATTCTGCAGAAATTTCAGTTACAATGGTGCACAGGCCACATTCTATACCAATCATATCTGCATCAGGGAAACTTTCTAATACCTCATTCTCAAAAAGTTACATTTTAATAGACTCTTTTCTTCAGATTCTAATACTTCAAAACTTTTGCCAATTACACTCTACATAAAAAACTGACTATAAGTATAGTTTTTATAAAACATTTAGCTGACCCTTGTGAGGATTCGAAGTGATCAGGGTGTACCATACAGTTGACCCCTGCCACCTTCACGCCGTCCTTGATGTCCAGGTAAGATTTCCCGAGGTTAATACCTCTTACGGTAATGTTGGTTCTCCCTTGTACAGGGCCCATAGAGGGCTCAAACTACAAAGAAACACTCCAGTTCAAAGACAGTCTTACAGCTTACGTGTGGGTTTGGATGTACTCTGTACACAGTTTTGATTTCTATCATCAATCTTTGCATGTTTTTTTCAATCTAGAGATTTTCACTCTTGAACTAGGGAAAATTTTGACTTGTCACAAAATAACAAATTCTAAAAAATAACTCACAACAGATGTTCATATTACCTTCAATATTCCTAACTACTCTAAGAAAAACAAAAAAAAAAGAGTTACCCTGAATATTTTGGGATTAGGACACGTGTCATCTCTGTCTAGCCACTGGTCCTGTACACCCTGACACTCTCGGTTCCTTGTACACCTGTTGGTTCTGTTACACCATCCACAGTTGTATTTAGAGTCCATCGTCAAACACAGGCCACAATTTGTCACCATTTGTGTACACTTGTATATCCGAACTGGAATCAAAAATAAAAAACACTTGTGTTCCAAAGAAAATCTAAATTTAGTAGTCACTAACAAGATAAATATATAGCATCTAGCATTGGTACATATTTCTAAAACTAAAAAAAATACCTAATGTACATGTACAGTACTAATACTTGTGTGCTGTCAAATTTTGCTGCAATCATGAGTTGGGATTGTCAGCATACTGTACTTGTATTATATTTGGTGAGTACTATATTTGGTGGAAATTATTTTTTCCAAAAGTTAGCGTAGATTTGATTTAGCGCTTTCTGAATGTGCTAGATATAAATGTATGACGTACAAAACATTATTAGCGATGTACTTAATTTAGTGGACTAGCGATTTTTTTCCACCCATTGGGAAAGGGTCCGGTACCGATTCAATTGGGAAAAATAACATCAAAGAAGAACAATGAGAATTTTCTCTCAATCAAATAAAATGTATTTTGCACTTATTCTAACTAAATTACCTATTATTACGTGTTTTAAAGAATAAGCAACGAGTACTTATTGCTTATTTTTATCAATGTCCCATGTTTTCCACATTTTCATGCTTTCAAATTGTCGAAATGTATGATACTATGCTGTTTTTCACCACAGATCCCCCCAAATTACGACTTTCTCTACTTTTGATTTAAGCGGAAGTGAAACAATTAGTCAACTTGTACATTGTTTCATTTAAAAAGAAATACAATGTCGTCATAGTCTGTTGCTTCACAGTTGAATTGGGGATTTTTGGTCACAAAATTGGGAAAAATTAACGTTTTTGGCATTGGGAATGGTGCCGTTTATCGGTACCAGTTATATAAAGAAAACAAGAGGCCCACGGGCCTTATAGGTCACCTGAGTATCATGTAACAACTTTCCAGTGATTGTATTTGGTTCGTGTTTTAATCCAAAAGCCATGAAATTCACAAATTTTGAAGGAGGCACCATTGCTTATCAAAGGGCATATTTCAAAGCATTAATTTTTTTTTTAGTCAAAGTACCCCCCTGGTACCCCTGACCCAGCGGCCCTGAAATTATGTATTTTGAAAGAGGCCCCTTTCTACATTATAAGGCCAGCATTTTTTTTATGTTTAGGTTTAGTTATGAACATGAGAATAAAAAAGTCACGAAGGAGAAGGAAATAAAAAAAAATTTGATAAATCAATTATTAACATTTGTACATTCTTTTTTTATGCTATTCTAATAGGCTCCTTACCACTGGACACATAATGCTTACAAATAGGAAAGTAGAACATTTAATTGCTTATTTCATCATCTGCCAGCTTGGGTAGTTTGGGCCAGTTATATAAATTTTGTGATGTTGGTCAAAATATATTTTAAAATAGAACTGTCCAAACGGGACAAAATACCCCCCGCTGGGTTTTTCAGAAGTAAGTTTTTCCAAAATAAAGATGTATCAAAAACGAATTATGAAATTTTTATTCCAGTGACCTTGAACTTCCCCAAATAACCTTGGGTCAAGGTCATGACACACCCTTGGGTCATGGGCAATCTTTCGGTGAAATGAGAACCTACCAAGTTTATCCATAAGAAACATATGGACCGGACACAAATTATGAAATTTTTCATCCAGTGACCTTGAACTTCCACAAATGACCTTGGGTCAAGGTCATGACACACCCTTGGGTCATGGGCAATCTTTGTGTGAAATAAAAACCTACCAAGTTTATCCATAAGAAAGATATGGACAGGACACGAATTATGAAATTTTTCTATCAGTGACCTTGAACTTCCCCAAATGACCTTGGGTCAAGGTCATGACACACTCTTGGGTCATGGGCAATCTTTCAGTGAAATGAGAACCTACCAAGTTTATCCATCAGAAAGATATGGACCGGACACAAATTATGAAATTTTCTTCCAGTGACCTTGAACTTCCCAAAATGACCTTGGGTCAAGGTCTTGACACACCCTTGGGTCATGGGCAATCTTTGTGTGAAATAAAAACCTACCAAGTTTATCCATAAGAAAGATATGGACCGGACAGGGATTATGAAAATTTTCTTCCAGTGACCTTGAACTTTCCCAAATGACCTTGGGTTAAGGTTATGACACATTCTTGGGTCATGGGCAATCTTTGTGTGAAATGAGAACCTACCAAGTTTATCTATAAAAGATATGTATCAAACATGATTTATGAAAATTTTCTTCCAGTGACCTTGAACTTTCCCAAATGACCTTGGGTCAAGGTCATGACACACCCTTGGGTCATGGGCAATCTTTGTGTGAAATGAGAACCTACCAAGTTTATCCATAAGAAAGATATGGACCGGACACGAATTATGAAATTTTTCTTTCAGTGACCTTGAACTTCCCCGAATGACCTTGGGTCAAGGTCATGACACACCCTTAGGTCATGAGCAATCTTAGTGTGGAGTAGTAGATTCTAATGTCCCTCTGTAAGAAAGATATGGACCGGACACGATTGCACAGACAGACGGACGGATGGACAGACGGACAAGGTGATTCCTATATACCCCCCCAAACTTCGTTTGCTGGGGGTATAAAAATCAGTTCTTTAAAAGTCTTTCAATATATCTTCATTTTTTTAATATGTGTTAGGTGAATGTGTAGACTTTGTTCTAAAATTTACTTGATGCCTAAAATTATAATTCCTGTCATAAAACAGACGGTCCAGTATTGGGGAGTAGGGTGAACATTTTAAATAATTTTTCTGGCTGATACAAATGATACTACATGCCTGTATACAGGGATTGACATTAACGTCCGATTGTCCGGGACAAGTAAATTCTCAGTTCGGGCAAGTGAAACTATCAATGTACTTGTCCGATCAGGCAAGTGGATATTTCTGATAGAAACATTTTTTTAGTCTCACATAAGTTTATAAACAACACAATAAATTAAAGTTAACACTTGATTTCCGCCAAATACGGGACATTGTTATTGCATTCGGAATCCCTCGGTAGCATTTCTGGATCTTACCTTTATTCAGAAATCGGGTTCGTTATTCTGTTTTCTTTCGTAGTTTAAAAAATATGAATATCTGTCTTACAACTTACGTTACAGTCTTATTATAAAATAGAGATTACAGAATACTTTCTCTACCCAATTAAGGAATTATATGAAGAACACCAATTATTCACGGTGCATGATGTATCTTGATTCAAAACATAACGACTCTCTTCCTTCTGGCTTCGCCTCAATTTTTTAGAGGAAAAGTTAAAATTTCAAACAAAAATCATAAGAAAATAATATTCCTGCAGTACTCTGTGTGTTTTCAGGATATATATAGTTTAATGACAGGAAAGTGTTTTACATACATGTACATTTACAATTGTAGCTTCACCATCATATGAACATTTTTTCCGGCAGTTAACTTCAAAATATAGATTAATTTGTCAACTTTTATATTTACAACAAATTAAGGTACAATAACTGTTTTTTTTTTTTCTTCAAACATTTTGGGCAACCAAATTTTGCATTCGGACAAGTCAGAATTGTAGTTCACTTGCCCGAAGGACAAGTAGAAATAAAAGTTAATGTCTACCCCTGGTATATATTTGTATATTCTTGCCTTTTAATAGTTGAATTTTTTTTAATTTCTTCAGGTTATTGTTTATTTCTTCCTCAAATGGACTTAACTTCTCACATAGTTTTATTAATTACATCTGATGCATAAGCAACCCATTTCTGAAGAATGATGCTTAGACTGTAAGCTATAACAGAGACCTAAACAATGTCGCTGGCAATATGCAATAGTTACCACGGGCAGTTTAAAACCTGCGGGAGGAAAATAATTTACAGACATATACTTTTGAAACGAATACATAATTATCTCACCAGCATGTCATTGTGCAACAAAGTCGTCAGCATTTTATCTGTCCTTTGAACGGGTGAAACGTTTTGAATGGCACTCGTATCGATGAATTTTACACTAAACCAAGCTATCTTCTCAGATCTAGCTTTATTTACCCGCCGTTTCATCTTAAAACCGGAAGTGCGAGTTCGTAAATTTGAAATCTCGATCATATAAATTTGACATCGGAAAGAAAAAAATTGTTTTATTTTTTTCTGAAAATTCAAAACCTTGAGCGGAGGGTTTGTAAAACTGAAAATAAAATAAATCCTGACCTTAAATATGTAATTAGATCATTAGTATATTAACCAGGAGCAAAGGATAAGATGTTCAAAGAATTCATGCATTTCACTATATAATCATTAGAGCCCCACCCTAAAACAAGAACCCCTGACCCTGGGGCCATAAAATTCACAATTTTGGAAGAGGCACTCTTGCTCATCATAACTATGTACTTAGTTAGTTTATTTAATACCCAGGAGCAGAGAAGAAGATTTTCAAAGAATTCATGTATTTTCACCATATAATCAATAGAGCCCCTCCCTAAAACCAGAACCCCTGACCCTGGGGCCATAAAATTCACAATTTTGGTAGAGGCACTATTGCTCATCATAACTATGTACTTAGTTGGTTTATTTAATACCCAGGAGCAGAGAAGAAGATTTTCAAAGAAATAATGCATTTTCACTACCTACTTATTTAGCCCCGCCCTAGCACTAGAATCTCTGACCCCAGGGCCATGAATTTCATAATTTTGGTAGAGGCACCCTTGCTGATTACAATCATGCAAACAGTTTGACTGCTTGATGTCCATGAGTAAAGGAGAAGATTTTTAAAGATTGCATTAATTTTAGTGGTTTTGGCCCCACCCCTCAGGCCCCAGGGGGGCAGGGATCATGAAATTCACAATTTTTGTTCCCCTTCACCCATAGATGCTTTGTGCCAAATTTGGTTGAAATTGGTTCAGTGGTTGCAGAGAAGAAGCTGAAAATGTTCAAATGTTAACGCACGACAGACGACGACGGACAAAAACAGATAGCAATAGGTCACCTGAGTTTACTCAGGTGACCTAATAACGCAGTTCTGCCAAAATCGCTTAATAGAATACACCTCTTAATTTAAAGTGTTTACAGTAAAGCACAAAAATAGGTCAAGAGAAATCTTTGTTCTCTAAAACTGTAGTGCTCTAGGGATTGAAGTATACATTGCTAGTTCTTAAGACCTTTGATCTCTATACCTGTAGTGTTCTGTGGCATATCCAGAGGATATTTGTTTGGTCCCCATAAAACTTCAAACGTGGCATCAACATTGGATGTCTCCTGCGAGTACTCAAACTGAAACATAATATGTAAATCATACAGGTCCTCATGTCCTGTGCTGTGCTAGCTACAGATCTGTAGCTGGCTGTTCAGAAAATGCCGTGAGACAGTTCACCTTCTGTAAGTTAGGTGAGTTTTTCTCATCTCACAATTTAATCAACATACTCATGATAATCTACACATCAAAATATTTTGCTTTTAAAGTTCTTTTTAAACTGCAACTTTGTCACATTTTTTTTTTTTTTTAATTTTTTTTTTTACAATTTTTGATGGTTTCTTGATTCTGCATGCATTGAGTCAATAAAAAACATCTTTACAAGATGATAAATCAATAGCAAGTGATTTCTTATATACTGACCTTGACCTTCTGACATGTGAGGCTGTTGGACTCCTCTTTACCAGGAACCATGACGTTCATGCCTAAATACCTAAATCTACACCACATCTCATCTGTCTGACCGGCCTAAGAACAAAGATATTCCCATAAAGTCACATTCTCCTTCTTCAGAAATGCAAGATTTTTAAGAAATCAGAACATAAGTAATCTATACTGGGTTATTTTCGCCATTTAACACTTGCTTACAAATTTGCCCCGTTTTAAATTTGCCCAGTATCAGTTCTATTTAAGAATTTATACAGTGTTCTTTATATTCAGCTTGTTTTAAATTCGCCCACTTGTGACAAGGGCGAAAGGGGCGAAAATAAAAGGGGGGGGCGAAATTTCCATGTATACAGTATCTTAAAATCAGTTACTACATGGGCATTACATTTGTGGATTCTGTCCATTTTAAAAGTATGAATACCTTCATATTGACGAGCTTGACCACCAGCTGGGGGGAATCCCCGGAGTGGACAATGATGTCAGTGCTCTGTGAGGCGGGGATCTCCACACGAGGGCAGCTGTCCAGACTGGTAGTACCAGGGTCCCGCTACAGAAAACACAGACATATAATCCTCAGAGTGAATTTTATCAGGTTTCTCCACAAGGGGTTTTATCATGGCGGCCCGCCATGGTTAAATTTATGTGCGCCATGGTTAAACGAGCTGCGCCATGGTTAAAATCGGCATCCGCCATGATTAAATTTCATTGCATTTCAGTCCTGACACCTCCCTTTTTTAATGACTTGAGTAGTTAATTGTGTTTATTAAATACTACAACTGCCGTGCACCTGGCATGCCTCGAAGGAAAGCTAGCGGAATGTGCTAAACAAACACGTCGTTAATCAGCGACTATGCTGTGAAGCGTAACAATCAATGAGAGTCAATTAGCTGATCGGATGATCAATATTTTGGGAGTTTATTATCCTGTACACATGCATGTAAATAATTTTGGGGAACTTCGACATGTTCACTACATGATTAGATATATTAACTGGATTATAAAAGATTACAATTACAAGCACGATAATCGTCATGCATGCATTCAAATTTCAAATACTCATGTATTTAATCAATTTACCGTGCTCTTTTTTTAAGCTTGAACTTTATCTTTTTGATAAAATGTGCATAGGGCCTGCGTCTCAATCGCCGTCTTAGTTTTAGAGTTACTTCCCGTTGTTATGAAACGTCGCGTGGCGCTATTTTTAGCACTGGGCACGTGGAGAAGTAAACAAAACTGGGTGATTAATGCAATATCTAGAAAAATAGAACGTTTAGAAAAAAGGACTCTTGTCCAAATGTTCCTTTGTGAGTTAACTTAAAAAATACTGCCCATTTATCAGTTTTAGTCATATTGAAACAAAACATTTCATACAACAGGCTACAATTCTTATCATTATTAATCTATTGCCATGGTTTCTGACTACTTGTATCAACAATTTTGTTTAAATTCCTTCAGAAGGTTACTACAGTTTTGGGAAAATTTTGGTTAATTTGTGAAAAAAGGAACAGGATAAATTCTTTTCAATTTAATTATTATTCTCTTTAACTTTAAAAAGTGTTAGTTTTTCATTGTTTTGTATTGCAGTAGGTAAGTTTAAAAAATTTTAAAACCAATCATTGATTAATGAAGATTAGGAAGTTGAGATGCATTCGTGTTTTCGGTCACATTTCGCCCGCGCAGTTTCCTCCATGGTTAAATTTTCAAATGTGGAGAACCCTGCAGATGTTTCCTCCATAGCACAATGCCCTCATTAAAAGTAATATGAGGGCATGTAAACAGATAAAGTTTCAAGTTATCCTTTAAAATGTGTTGATGATGCCCAATATACAATTTGACTGTGCACATAATATATAGAATTCCTAGATGCAGGCATGGTTTTATATTTCTTTGTCTCACAGTTGTGCAAGATAGGAAAATGCCATATCAAAGGTCATCAATATTTAGAGAGTTAGAGAAATGGCTATGCAATTTCTTTTTTTCCATCTTACACAGAAATAAAGCTTTTTTAACATTAAAACTGCCAACCTCAGATGGTTTCAGGGACACAATTGATAGAGTTGTGCAGGAATGAGTCTGGTAGTGCCAGGAACAGTTGAAGGAACTTTTGCTGCAGTCTGTACATCTGAAAAAAAATATGGGAGAAGGATCCTTTAAATCATTCAAAAAAAAAAAACAAACATAGGTAATCAGAGATTACAGAGCTCACCTCAACGAATGTTGTCTTTAAGTAAGGCAAAGTCACACAATTAACCAACAAGAAGTATACATTCCAAAAATGAAAATATTTTTAAAAGCAATTTTGATCTGATACTTTGAAATAGACCTACATAAAAAATTTAAACTACTTCTTCTTCATGAAAATGTAATGAAAATCCAGCATCTGAAGCAAATTTGAGAGTTTTCATCTCTTGATGCAGCATTTATGCAAGTTTGGTTTATACAATGTTATATAAGCCTTATAGTTTTTGGTAATAGACCTGCAACCATAACTTTTACCTTGTCTATTATCTGAAAAATGTATGTCCAATTCAGCATCCGAAGCAAGTCCATTAGTGTGCATCCTTAGATGTATCATCCATGCAAGTTTGCTCATTATAGGGCTCATAGTTTATTGGAAATGAAACATGCATCAAAACTAACATTTTCACTCATCCACAAAAAGTAGGTCAGATTCAGCATCCGAAGCAAGCCTGGAAGTATGCATCCTTAGATGTATCATCTATGCAAGATTGGTCATTAAAGAACTCATAGTTCCTTGGAAATGAAACCTGCACCAAAAACTTTTAACTATTCACTCAACCGGAAAATGTAGGTAAGATTCAGCATCCGAAGCAAGCCTGGTAGTGTGCATCCTTAGATGTATCATCCATGCAAGTTTGGTCAACATAGGGCATAAAGTTACTTGCAAATGAAACCTGCACCAAAAACATTATCCTGTTCGCTCAACTGGATAATGTAGGTCAGATTCAGCATCCGAAGCAAGCCCGGTAGTATGCATCCTTAGATGTATCATCCATGCAAGTTTGGTCAACATAGGGCTTATAGTTACTTGGAAATGAAACCTGCACCAAAAACATTAACCTGTTCACTCAACTGGAAAATGTAGGTCAGATTCAGCATCCGAAGCAAGCCCGGTAGTATGCATCCTTAAATGTATCATCCATGCAAGTTTGGTCAACATAGGGCTTATAGTTACTTGGAAACGAAACCTGCACCAAAAACTTTAACCTGTTCACTCAACCGGAAAATGTAGGTCAGATTCAGCATCCGAAGCAAGCCCGGTAATATGCATCCTTAGATGTATCATCCATGCAAGTTTGGTCAACATAGGGCTTATAGTTACTTGGAAATGAAACCTACACCAAAAACTTTAACCTGTTCACTCAACCGTAAAATGTAGGTCAGATTCAGCATCCGAAGCAAGCCCGGTAGTATGCATCCTTAGATGTATCATCCATGCAAGTTTGGTCAACATAGGGCTTATAGTTACTTGGAAATGAAGCCTGCACCAAAAACATTAACCTGTTCACTCAACTGGAAAATGTAGGTCAGATTCAGCATCCGAAGCAAGCCCGTTAGTATGCATCCTTAGATGTATCATCCATGCAAGTTTGGTCAACATAGGGCTTATAGTTACTTGGAAACGAAACCTGCACCAAAAACTTTAACCTGTTCACTCAACCAGAAAATCTAGGTCAGATTCAGCATCCGAAGCAAGCCCGGTAGTATGCATCCTTAGATGTATCATCCATGCAAGTTTGGTCAACATAGGGCTTATAGTTACTTGGAAATGAAACCTGCACCAAAAACATTAACCTATTCACTCAACTGGAAAATGTAGGTCAGATTCAGCATCCGAAGCAAGCCCGGTAGTATGCATCCTTAGATGTATCATCCATGCAAGTTTGGTCAACATAGGGCTTATAGTTACTTGGAAATGAAACCTACACCAAAAACTTTAACCTGTTCACTCAACCGGAAAATGTAGGTCAGATTCAGCATCCGAAGCAAGCCCGGTAGTATGCATCCTTAGATGTATCATCCATGCAAGTTTGGTCAACATAGGCTTATAGTTACTTGGAAATGAAATCTGCTCCAAAAACTTTAACCTGTTCACTCAACCGGAAAATGTAGGTCAGATTCAGCATCCGAAGCAAGCCCGGTAGTATGCATCCTTAGATGTATCATCCATGCAAGTTTGGTCAACATAGGGCTTATAGTTACTTGGAAATGAAACCTGCACCAAAAACTTTAACCTGTTCACTCAACCGGAAAATGTAGGTCATGCAGATTCAGCATCCGAAGCAAGCCCGGTAGTATCCATCCTTAGATGTATCATCCATGCAAGTTTGGTCAACATAGGGCTTATAGTTACTTGGAAATGAAACCTGCACCAAAAACTTTAACCTGTTCACTCAACCGGAAAATGTAGGTCAGATTCAGCATCCGAAGCAAGCCCGGTAGTATGCATCCTTAGATGTATCATCCATGCAAGTTTGGTCAACATAGGGCTTATAGTTACTTGGAAATGAAACCTGCACCAAAAACTGCACCAAAAATGTTAACCTGCTCCAAAAACATTAACCTGGTAATTCCTTTGCTGAAATTGCAGCATCTGAAACTTTGACTGGTACAATAAAACACATTTGAAGCATCTTCCATGCATGTCTCATCAGTATAGGACACAGAAGTAATTAAAAAGAAAACTGCTCCAAAAAACTTAACCTTAACCTGGGACGCCGACACCGACGCCGAGGGTATCACATAAGCTCCCCCCAACTTCGTTGAGGTGAGCTAAAAAAACTAGAAAACTGACCAGTCAGCAAGGGCGCCCCGCCATGGGGTAGAATTATAAAGGTGCAGCTTATGGAATGATTCAAAAATATATGACAAATAAGAAACAGCAACTGTATTCTTAGAATTTCAGGATAATTCCTGAATATCCAAAAACCTGTATATAATATCCTTGTATTTACATAAGGCAGTAAAGAACAACTCAACACTGAATGTATATCTGAAAAATAATGAAGCTTGTGTTATATAAAATGCCAGCCTTCAATGAATGCAAATACATATCATGAAGGCTTGACCTTAACTTCCAAACAAACAGCAGTTGCAGACAAAGGTTTTCATTAATCTTAAAGTGACAGATAAAGATAAGCCTTCTAAATTTTCTGCAGCAGACTAGATAATTAATCCCAAAGGATTAATTGTACTTCTCTCTCATCATTTTCTTCTGAATTTATAATAAGAACTTTTTCAGTAATGATAGAATGAGGTTTTTATCCTACTACCTTAAAAATCAATCATATTCTTGAATTTACATGAAGCAAAAAAAAAAAAATAAATAAATAAAAAAAAAAATATACCTTCTTTAATCTATTTCTTGTTTTAAGAATTCAATGAAATCAGAGCTCATTGTGTAGGGTATTTCAACAAAAATAAAGTAAAAACATTTATACTTCAATCCACTTAAATGGACTTAACTTCAAAACAAATTTCATTTGTAGACAGAGGTGGTAATTAATCTCAATGTGACAGATAAAGATAATGCTTTGGATTTTCTTCAGGAGGAAAGCTAATTAATCCCAGGGGACTCATTCATTGCAGTATTCAGTTTACAATGGGAACGTTTTCAGAAGTTATCTCTCTTTGCCAATTCATTCTTATATAAAGTTAAGGAATCTACCCCACCACCCCAGCTCCAAACCAGAGGACATAGAGAAAGAAACTTAGCATCAAAATATGTCTTTTTGCCTATGGAACTACCATACCAAATTTGAACTTAATTGGACTACCATAAAAAAAGTTATTAGGAAAAAACAGAAAATTTGTGGACGGAAGAATGACAGACGGACAGACAGACGGACAGACAGACAGACAGAGTGATTACTATAGGGAACCCGCAAATCCTTGGGGGGCCCTAATTACAGTTTTATAATTATAAAGAGTATACATATATCATTGTGTTATATATTTTGGACAGAATTACAATTTCACAGCAATAGTGCAATCATTATCTTAAAAAAAATTCTTACGTTTTGTGAAATGTGCAGTCAAACACAGGCACACTTCTTTTAACAAGTGCATGACCTTCAACATGAAATTCTACCTCAAGGTCATGGTGATCTACAGAAAATTAAGATAAGATATAAATACCTTACATTAACCATTTGGAAATACTGAAAAAAAAGAACAACAAATTATATCCATAAAACCATATCAATGAGAAATACCAATATATGGTCAGTCTAAATTTTTTTTGCTGGTGTCATTCAAGTTAGCGAACAGAATCAAACAAAAGAATACATAATTATATGTTCATAAAAATTTTCTTAGTCAAGTTTCAACCACCAAAATAAGCACCCTGTTGAAATAATCTGTGATAACATATTTCTATACAAACATATCTGAGGAATAAATAAATATAATATATGCAGCCCAAAACCTTGTTATCTCAAACTTGATATTACTGAAAAGAGGTCCAAAAATTTGATGTATCCATGCAAAATACACGAAAACAATATCACTGGAACTTCCAACTCGAACATAAATTCTGGTCAGCTTCATCATACGTTAAGTTTAGTTGGTTAGACTAATTATCAATTTGCTTTATCATTCCTATAGAGTTAGTAAACAGATGGGTTATTAATGTAGCTAAATGTCACTTCTTGTAAAAACACAATCCTTTAGAAAAAATGGTACTATCATATAAAATGACATGTGCATTAAAATATCATATGCATTCTATAATAAATTCATTGTATTGTTATTATATGTGGACTTTACAAGCACTCAGATGTACAATCTCTTGAACAGACCCTCACTTTTCATACTCACAAATTAAAAACTGTGAAAAGAAAAGAAATGAAACAAAAATTAATCATAAAATAAGACTGAACATAACTGAGATTTGATTAAGAATGTTTATTCAAGATATATATGAATTTACTAAATTAAATGTTATTGCTGAAAATTCTTACTTACCCTTACCCCTTGGTTTTAACCCTAAAGACTTGTTGCTTGGCAACAGACACGTGATCACATCATTATCCAATGAAGCGGGTGTATGGGCAGTGATTGACATGGCAGTAAAGGCACACTGCAGGTTGCCCCTCCCACTTGTGAGAGTGACATCCGATAGCTTAAAGCTGACCTAAACAAAAAGATGATGCTTTTGGAAATCTTCACATCACTGACATAAAAATTTAGTGAGAAAACTTGATAGTTTATCAACGAAAATATTTACTTTAAGATAGGCATTGCCAAATGATACCATCTATAAGCATTGATATGAGTATATGCATAAATGACAACGCTTTGACCATGCATGAAATCCTTACTTGATGTTGATGCTGGTTTTTACTGATGTTTTCGTAATTGAGGATGGAGGGCTGAATGTCTGACATTGTGGCACAGCTTTCCTGTTTAGCTGATGACAACCATGGAGGTACGATGAGTGAACTCCGACAGTCCTCCTTCTCTGTGCATCTATAAAAAAAAGGGACTTAACTCATTCCTCCATTTAACATTTTAACTTGCATCTCTTTTACAGGAACAGTACCAGTATTTTTTAAAATTATTCATCTTAAAATATCTACCAATTTTTCGCTATTTCATATAAGATTGTAGGATGTGATATAGATTGGTTTTCCTCGCCTTTTCAAAAATTTGCCCTGGATTCATAAAATTGGAAACTCTGATGCATAATATATTCATCAGGGTTCGACATTAACGTTAGTCCGTTAGTCTCAGACTAATACATTTTCTTTCGGACTAATCAAATTTGTGGTTAATTAGTCCGAACGGACTAATGAGTTTTCTGGAGGGGGGGGGGGAAAGAATTTACCGATGTTCAATTCTCAACAACTTTCACTGGAAAAACCCGTATTTATTTTTAGCTTTCTAGCTTCTTGGCGGGAAGTTATGTCAATTTGGGACTTAAATTTAGGACTCGATGGTATAAAATTAAACATTTTAGCGATCATGATTTAGTATGACACATAAAGAAAGATGTTGGATGTTTGGATGATGTAATATATGTATAGAGAAAAACAAATGAGATCGGGAATACAATCATAGTTCCTGATCGCGAGATTTTCAACGAATCTTGGTATAAAACATTTTATGTAAATGTTTTGTTTATTTCAAAAAAGTATAAAAAGTAAATTGCAATGTTAATTCTACTATTTATTTATATTATTGACGGACTCATAAAATTTCCTCGGGCTAGTAAAAGTAAAGAAACACTAGTCCGGCCGGACCAAAGCCTTAAAAACTTAGTGTCGAACCCTGTTCATATTAGAATTTTACTCTTATTGCTTAATACTTGAAACTATAGTTTGAAATTTTTTTCCAAGGGAATTTGATAAATTCATAGTTGAGGTATGTAGACAAACACAATATGATAGATTAGAATTATAATATTTTCTGGCAGATGGGAATTAATAAAAGTAAACTTTTAAGAAAATTATGAATTTTGCCATTTACAAAATTGTTTACTTCTAAACTGTGACACAAACCTGTTGTCCATGTTACACCACCCACACACAGGGTCAAAGGTCGTGACACAGTCCTGGCAGGTGGTTCTGTGTTCACAGTGAGAAATCCCCACTTTAATCAGCTGTCATAGCAAGGTTAAACGTAAACAGGTATCAGTGTCATCATTAAATTCAGAAAAAAAATATATCAATAACATATTACTGCAATTAAAATTTAGAACTCACTTGCTCCGATAATAAAGACTTTGTAAGTTGAACATCTTTATAATATTTATTAAAGATTAAAGTATAATAACCAGAGACTATGAAGAAAATTGATAGCAACTCACTCATGAGAACATGTTTTGTAAATTACTGTAAACATAATATATTTGGCTGTGTATTCTATTTAGCACAATTCGCAGAAAGAATCTTACTGTAAATCAAATACATTGCTTAATGTCTTGTTCACATATATTAATATAAAGCACATTCATATAAAGCGCTGAATCAAATCTACACTAACTTGTTAAAATATCAATTTCCGCCAAAATATCGTACACGCCAAATAAAATACGTTTACAGTAAGTGACAATAACTTGGATTTAGCCAGCTGTTCTAGTTACCTTGTCTCTGGTGACTACATAGATTGACTTCTTATCCGGGCTAACTGGCATGGACATGCCCTCCTTCATGTCATGAATGTAGAGTTTGTCCACCTCAGTAATACTGGATCCAGACATAATGTACTGTAAAATAGGGGGAAAATTCATAAACCAAAGAAAAGAACATGTTTTTTCTGAACTTCATCTTTGTAGTGACCTCTTTAATTGATCTACTGATCTTGCTAGAGCAGATGGATGACAGACTAACAGACAAAAGTCTAGGAAATACTACTGAATTTTAAAATTTAAGTTATCTATTTTAAAAGTTTCTGTCAGGAACATAAACTCAAAAGAGGACAAGGAATAACTTCACCATCAACATGATCCGTGTTGAAATTGGTTTTAAATTTTCTTGCTCACAAAGTGATTTTTATGGAATCCAGATAGGGCCATGTAGTTCACCATCTTATCAATGCACCATCATGGTTTGGGTTGAAAGTGCAATGATTACATACATTAATTCAATTACAATGATGCCTTGATGATGGTGCAATAGCATGATGAAGCGGTAATGAACGCCTCATCAACATCACATCATCGAAATGTCATGTCATCACTTCACACCATCCCATTATCACTAAAATGTGCTAATATACCATTGTCATTGCATTGATGAGCCATCACACCATTGTGGATGCTCCATGGTGCGATAGTGAACTGCATGGTCCTATCCAGATTCCACTGATAATTTATGGCAAATTAGGATTTTTAATTTAGAGTTCATTTGATTTTCCCTGATTGCAGGACAGATGCAATTCAGCATATGCACATCCTGTGACAAATGATGTCAGCCTAGTGAGCGGGCCACAATATTGTTTACTTTTCATAATAAATTTGGCCCAGTGAGTGGGCCACACTACACTGCTTACTTTGCGTAATAATCCATCCCCTGAGCTGACAATGAGGGCAGTGTAGGACTTCTGACCAATGACAGCAATAGACGACAGGTAAACGTTCTTCAGTCTTACAATGCTTCCTCTCAGAATTGGCTGGACACCTTCAATGGAAGCAAAGCCTCCTGGAACTTTGGAGCAGTAAGGGTCAGATACCTGTAAAGATTAATGAGATATGATTAGACGTTACCAAAAACGATACACTAGTCTCAGATTTTCAATATATGTAGTTTATCTCAGTGCTTTTGTCCCTTTTTTAAAAGCCGCATTTTTCATCCATTCTGGAATTTTACTTTGAAATTCGATCATAATTGTAAAAGTAGTAAATTGTGGGAAAAATGACCCCATTTTAAGGGATCCCCCTTTCTTCAGCTGCAATTTGGGGTCAATGAATATTACAGAATGAATATTTTATTGACTAAAAATAGCTCTAGAGACTAAGAATGATTTTCCTGACTTTTTCCAAAATTAGTCTAGGGTCTATAAAATTGGGAAATTCTGATGCATCAAATGTTAAGACTAGAATTCTTTCTTGTTGGTTACTTGAAAATATAGCAGATTTTTATAACTGGAACTAGATCCCATAACTGGACCCAAAACTAAGACAAGAAAAATCCTAAAAATGGGGGAATGATTTGCAACAAAGATATTTAATTTTGGCCTATACATGTATATATCTTTGATTTAACAAAACAATTCAGGACTCTTAGTGGTGAATATGGTTTCAAATTGATATTCACCAGCAGATGATGTAACAAGAGGCCAAGGGGCCACATTACTCACCTGAGCAAATCGTCTAGGAAAAAAACACAAATCAGATCAGAACTGAAAAGTTTACTGAAAGGGGGGGCTTGAATTTAATACTACTTTAGAATGCCTTCATATTAATACAGCATATGACTTTGCTGTTCTTGACAAAAAGATTTTTTAAAAACATTTTCTTCTAATCATTGCTTTGAAGTACTTGAGAAGATGATTTTTATACAGATTTTCCTTATATATTCCTATGTAAAACTTTGATCAGCCATGTGGCCCCACCCTACTCCGGGGGTCATGATTTCAACAAACTTGAATCTACACTACCTGACAATGCTTCCACATGAGTTTTATCTTTCCTGGCCCAGTGGTTCTTGAGAAGATTTTTAAAGATTTTCCCTATATATATCTTATGTAAAACTTTGATCGGCCATTGTGGCCCCATCCTACCCCCAGGGGTCATGATTTGAATAAACTTAAATCTACACTACCTGACGATGCTTCCACATGAGTTTCATCTTTCCTGACCCAGGGGTTCTTGAGAAAATTTTTCCTATATATCCCTATGTTAAACTTGGGGACGGCCATTTTGGCCCCACCCTAGCCCCGGGGGCCATGATTTGAACAAACTTGAATCTAATATACCAGTACCTAAGGATGATTTCACGTTTCATCTTTCCTGGACCAGTGGTTCTTGAGAAGAAGATTTTTAAAGATTTTCCTTATATACTCCTATGTAACACTTTAATCCGCTATTGTGGCCCCACCCTACCCCCGGGGGTCATGATTTGAACAAACTTGAATCTACACTATCTGAGGATGCTTCCACATGAGTTTGATCCTTCATGGCCCAGTGGTTCTTGAGAAGAAGATTTTTAAAGATTTTCCCTATATACTCTTATGTAAAACTTTGATAGGCCATTGTGGCCCCACCCTAACCCCGGGGGTCATGATTTGAACAAATTTAAATCTACACTATCTGAGGATGCTTCCACATGAGTTTCAACTTTCTTGGCCCAGTGGTTCTTGAGAAGAAGATTTTTTTAAAAATGCCATTAATTTTTCACTAATTCATAATTATCTCCCCTTGGAAGAGGGCGTGGCCCTTCATTTGAACAAACTTGAATCCCCTTCACCTAAGGATACTTTGTGGCAAGTTTGGTTGAAATTGGCCCAGTGATTCTTGAGAAGAAAATGAAAATGTGAAAAGTTTACAACGACGACGACGACGGACAAATTTTGATCAGAAAAGCTCACTTGAGCCTTCGGCTCAGGTGAGCTAAAAATATTCCCCCCAAATAAGATATATAAATCTTTCAAGTCCAGCTGACATTACTTTGCTGGTGAACAATTTTACTATAGAAGTCAGATTCTGGTTGAATTACATGCATTCTGATGTTTTTATGATGATTGCATTACTGCTGTAACCAGCTGGCAATAAGGAACTTCCAAGTACTCTGCATTCATTGTGCACAATTATAGATTACATTAAAAAAAAATGTGCTATGAAAGATTCATGATTTCTTCATTTCCTCTGTCTGGCCTAATTTTTTAAAAAAATAGAACAGCATTTTAGCTGATTAAGCAAGACAATGACACATCTGTAACAAAAAATAAATCAAATGAATACCAGGGGCATCTGAGACTTCCCTGATGTATCAACAAAGAACAAGGGAGAAGTAGACTTTTAAAATGTTCAAATAGGCCTAGTAATTCTGTACTGTAAAAGTGAAAATTTATACAGGGGGTAATTCACACTGAATATGCAATATGAAAACTTTTTCAGTTAAATTTTTCATGGAATTGAAAATTAATACTCCAACTTGTAATATTTTTGCTCTTGATTTTTGTTATACAAATTTCATAAAACCAAAATTTACAGTAAATATCCTTGATCAAGGAAACATTTTGAAGCATTTCTAGCACCATGACATATTACTAATCTTATGGCCGGTAGCATATCTCGGATTTAAACCTACGATCAAAGATTCCGGATTTAAATCCAAGTTTTCGCGTAGCACGCATGTAAGGATTGGCTGAGTACGGCTCAGAATTACGGTAAATTCTTAACCTGGTGTAGGGGTGGTTTAAACCCAGCTTAATAACATTTCCATGGATTTTTGGGTAGAATATTTCGATATTTTGAAATATTTCGATGTTGCAGAAATGTATTATGGTAATGATGATTGCATTGATAGATTTTGCGGTATTAAAAAAGCTATTCTTACAAGAAAAATTTTATGGCCATATTGCATGGGTATTTTTCTTTATGTACAACTCATCAACAGCTGTTCAATGTACCGTTTAACACTGATGTAGCTGTTGTATAAAGTTTTGGAAGATACTTTTAAAATACATAAATGTACATAAACAGGAATTTTATAGAAACTTTCTGACATACCAATGCCCTGTTCACACGGAGAATTTAATTCACAGTAAATTAATGCGAAGTAAACTAATGCGAATCAAACTAATGCAAATGAAACTGCGTTCACACGACAGCTAATGCGAAGTAAACTAATGCGAATTAAAATTTTACTTCTGCAGCCTGGCGTCAGCACGGCTATTATGACGTCATTTGCAAATCACGTCACCTTATGCAGAAGCAGATCCATTTGACATAATGGCAAAGTGTCTGTATACACAATTTAATGATTAACACAATTTTCCTTAGTTTTTCACTCAAAAATAGCACAAGTACCTATAGCTGACCACCGACAAGTGGCATAAGACTGAATTTTGCCATTACGCATGCGTCAAACTTTAATTCGAATTAGCTTCGCTTAGCGTTCACACGGAGCTAATGCGAAGTAAACTAATTCGCATTAAATTCTCCGTGTGAACGCTAAGCGAAGCTAATTCGCAGTAACTTTACGTTTAATTCGAATTAAACTCTCCGTGTGAACAGGGCACAAATTTAAATCAAATTAAGAATTTTACACTTTCGAACAGCTGATGATACACATTCCAATAATTTCTAATAATGCCGAATTTCCTGGAGATATAAAGTCTTGTAGTTATCTGATTAATCAGGCTATCCACATGGCCGTAGGAACTGGACCGGGGGGAGGGCAGGTCCGAAATTAAATTAATACATTGTTCCTTTATTATTTATATTACCTATATCTTGTGTTTTGGTATTGTTTCTAAATGACTTATTCCAGACCCCCATCATTGTTTTCTTCTCTTCAGTCTTTTGCAAAAGCTTTATTCTGTTTGCGATTTTATATTTTCTTATGGTTTGAGTTTTGATGAAAGATGCCTTGATTTGAATTAAATCGTATTGCATTTTTTCGGCATTTTTAATTTACAATTTAACATCAATGTATACTTTGTTTTTAAATATATCCTTTTAATTTTCAACTAGTTACTAGTATATTAAAACTTGTTTTGAAGTGCTTAATTTTAGAAACCTATTATCCTTCAACATTTTATATGAGTAAGTCAAGATTAGGTAAACCTTACTCAGTTTTATAGAGTGCAACAGAAATGCGACTCAAGTAATCCCGACTCAACTGGGGTTTAAACACGGCTTACGTGATCCACGGATCAACCACTGAGCTGTACTTATCTGAGACATAGAAACGCAACCGGTCATTTGACATGCGCAAAATATCTGTAAGCCAATGGTATGAAATATTTAAAGAGATATAGAACACTGCTGGGAAATACTAGGAAAACACTTCCATAAAATATGAATTTTATGATAAAACTTTCCTTGTCTTGAGACATATAATGTATATTTATGCCTCCCCTTATATCTACAAACCAACAGAAAATTCAGGTTGTCATGGTAATGAAGAAATTGCATACATGAAGATGTCAGAGGAGATCAGAGGCCTGCACCAACTGTTTTCTTCCTCTTTTAAGCACATTGAAAAGGAATTATGTCTGATAAGTTTATTTCTGATCGCTCTGTTTCAAAGCCTATCATAAAGTGAGAATGGTCTTTATGTGAGCCTTCATCAACAGAGAACATGCAATGTTTGCGTACCCAAACCATATCACCTGCCCCACTAGCAGCTGGTGTCTGCTGAGCCAACTCTCTGTTTTTATGCATCATTAAAGGACTTCTAGATCAGAGGTGAAAACATTAAGAAAATTTTGCTTTCAAATTAAAATTTATTTTGGTGTTTTACTCTTTGTATTTCCTTAATCATAAGAAATTCTCTACATTCTCCCTATTATCATTTTTTAAAGAAGAATTTTTTGCAAACCAAAAACAAAAGATTACTTTTTTCTGTTATCTGAACTATAGATTAAATATTCAAGAAAAAAATTTTGTGAATTAAATCAAGAATTTGTTGCAAGATAAAATTCATTTTTTGATATTGATAAAATAATTTGAAAATTGTATGTATACACTGATTAATAATCAGATTATCATGATAATTTCAGTAAAACGAGGTCCATTTACATTTAATATCATTGAAGATTATTAATTAATTTATAATATCATATTTGATTGTTTTTTTATAATTATAATGAAGGGTTTGTTTCTCAGATTCAATACCAGTGTTATTTCAGACACACTTGTACAATGAAATAACACCATATTGCAGATGAAGTGCAAAAAACTTGCATTTAACTTGCTAGTACATTCTACAAATTGTACAATCCATCCACAATATTTTTCTTCTTCTATGACTCATGTTTTATGAGGGGATCTTTACACCTGAAAATCATTTTTCTCGCATTCAAGTTCTTATAACTATTGAGCATAAACACAATAAATATTTTAAACCTATTTTCTTTTCAATGAAGCGAGGAATGGGTTTCTAATGACTTAACCATGTTCATCTATGATACTACGTGCTCTTTAGTTTTCCAGATTATATGTAACATCATCAATCGCTAGGCACATCATCTTTAAAATTTTATTCAAACATAGGAATAAAATTAGGGCTAACTGAAGAAGCTACAAGGGGTAATTCAGATAATCTGTGCCCCCCCTCTGGGAAAAATAGAAGAGAATGTAAGGATATAAGGGGAGCTAAAGGGAAGAAAGGGGGGACCACTTGATGAAGGGCATGCAGGACCATATTCATTTTTATATTTAAAAGAAATGACATCTGAAGCATTGTTACAACTACACTTTTAAATATTAATTATCCCATTTCGCCTTTAAATTCTTAGACGTTTTCCCTGAAATACATCATCAGAAACGATGACCAAAATATACCATACTCTCACATTAATAAGTAAACTATAAAGACAGAGAGAAACTGATTGTTTAGCAAGTTTTTTTCCACCACAAGAAAGAGCACCATTTCTAAGGAATGCACATTTTCAGCAGACATTAAAGAAAGGGGAAGACTTCCTTTTACTAGAAAATGAAGTTCAGAGTCAGAAAGTTTTACTGTGTAAAAATAATATTACAGGGATATGTATTATACAATATTTGCATCTTTGATGCAGTGTCTTGTCAATAAATCTTGTTCATTTGCTTCTGGGAAAAGTGTTGTGGTGGCTAGAGAGAACAAATTCTTTATAAAGCTCTTCGGGTCATTCGTGAAGAAATAACAAAAATATCTGCTCCTCCAAAATGATAAATTTTTGTTTCCATCTGTAGTCAAATTTATTAAAAACTATACAGTAAAACTCGATTATAATGAAGTCACTGGGACCTATGAAATTACTTCGCTATATTTACATCCACTGAATATTTTCTTCTTTATTTCTTAAGAACACCCATTGCGTTCATCACTGCATGAACTACATTAGGCATATCACCTGTACAGATTTCTTGATGAGTGGCCGTTCCATCAATGAAACGTACAAAGACGTTCGCATCATTAACACAATAATTAATATTTTTAATCCTACTTAAAATGATAATTTAAACAGACATAAATATAAACAATAAAATGTCTTTCTTTGTTTGTTATTACTGGAATGAAGGGTCGCAGCTATTGCAGAAAAAATTTACATAACCCGCGTCTGCAACAGCTGCCTCCGTTCATTCCAGTAATAACAAACAAAGAAAGCATTTTATTGTTTAAATATCCGTTATTCGTTATATTCGTATAAGGAATTTACTTAATTTATATTTAATACTGGGGATCCAAGATACTTTGCTACAGAAAATAATTATTATAACCTATAATTATTGCAATACTCTTTTATATAGTTCACTAGAATTTTCTTTGTCATGCATATGCAGATCGATACTTTCAGATTCAATCATAAAGATGCAAAGATTAACTAAGGTATGTGACTCATTGTCATCAATAAGATCCTTTGGACCTATGCCACCATTTTCAAAGTATTAACACATCTGAGAAGTTATCCTTGACCTTGACCTTACCTTTCCAGCTGTTGAAGGACAGCTGACTTTTTTGTGGATGTAGTGGGGACCTAGATGACCCTGACCTCTGTGACAATCATCCACGACCTGATTAAACTTTCTCTCCACATCCGATATCTTATACCGACAGATCACACTCGACACAAGTCCTAATCGTCCGTCCTGTTCTCGTAACTTCCTGAACACCATGTACAAGTCCCCACTGCTCTCCTGAAAATCGGCACTCTGCACTGCCGAGTGATCGTTCTTGCCACACACCACTGGGATGTCGACATATGTGTCTATATTCAGATTTGACTTACAAAGTCGCATGATTCGAGATTCCTTTCCATTGTACCTAGAAATGAAGTACACAAAATTTCCATAGGAAAATCCATAAATAAATCTAAGATGGGGGTCCGTTTCATTGCTCTCCCTCGTATACACAGAGGACTGGCCACCAGAGGGAGTGGTTGTCAATTTCAATGTACGAGGATTTCTACTGCTAACCAGGGGAACTGCATGGGTAAGAAACTTTGTGGCCTGGGGGCCGTATTGCACCCCATACCAACTAGCGACATAGAGCATAGTCTGATTGTCAACCCCTGGTCCTAGAAATAACACATTGGGTGATGTAGGATCATTGGAAACCACGGATTGATTGTGTGGCTTCTTCGCTTGCACTATATTGTCTAGAGACACAACCTGGCATGAGCCTTGTGGAATGGTGGAACAGATAATGAGACTAGAGTCCTCCTTATTTAGCACTAACCCCTTCACAAACACATTAACTGAGCTGTTTTGTCCCTTTGGTACCCGTGGTCCAATGTTAAGCTGCTGGATAAGTTTGAGTTCCGGAGACAGTTTATACACTCGGTTTTTGGCTCCGAGAATGACTTGTCCATTCTCCATGTTGATCACTGGTTTTTCAAACGATGGGTCAGACTGGTCATTGGTGAAGAGAGTAAAAGTGTGTTCGATGTGCATGCTTGTGACCTCATGGATAAGCCACAGAACTGTTATTGTACACCTCAGATAACCATCCATTCTATGCGATGCCATGGTACAGCTCCTTGCACTCAGCTGCTCTTCGTAATCTGAAATGAGTTTTAAAATATTATCAAAATCCTCTCAAATGATTTAAATATGATCCTACAAAAATTTTAATTGGCTACAAGATTACAAAATAGTTCCAACAAAATTTCAATCAACAAAATGTTTTCTTTTTTCAAGATCCATTACATATTTCATATTTACAACAAATTTTATATGCCAACTTAATTCATGACTTTGAACATTTAACTCTGAAAATGAAATTTCTTTTAAAAATTAATTTATTACTTTTGAACTATGGTACATGTATTTATTCTCATTATAATGAAGGAGCCCAAATTTTAAAAAAGTTTTTAAGAAGGTTGATTTAAAATTTTCAATGGTCATGTTGTGCCATGTATGAAAAAATTTCAGGATTAGGAAAATCAAAGGAAACTATTCTTTTCAGTTTTTTCCCTCCTTAGGAATGACATTACATAATTTAAAATATTTTTTTGATTTTTGTTAAATTATCAGACAAATGTTTTTAATTTATCAGTCCTTTTTGGAATATAAATTGTGATCTACTTTGATATTTCTAAGGAAAACTTCCCTCACCCTTTTTGAGAGGAGCATATATATTCAAAAAGCTCTTTCAATATATTTCCCTTCTTAACCATTACACATTCATGCACATTCTTTTAATCTAATATATTCCAAGTTAAAGTCAACACAAAATAATCATTCCATGAGATATGGCTAATACAACTATCAACCATAATCCCACATACATAGACTGAGATTATAAAGTTGTAGTAGCCTTAAGATGTACAAGAGATGGAGTGTTAAACAAATACACAACAGAATAAAGCCCTCTTACCAGATCAGCTGATGACACACATCTGCAGATGTATATATCCGAAGGTTCCAACACAATATGCACTCCTGTGAAAAATACAAGGGAGACTTTTTATACGTGCTGTCCCAGTCAATGAGAGAACTGCAGTGTCCTTCTGTACTATTGATTAAATTAGCAATACAACTTCTTTTTTCTCAATCTCCACAATTAGACAAAAGCGATGGAGAATTATTTTCTCACAAGCATACGGTCTAGCAAGCACTAGAACACTCCCATCTCAAAGCTATATAGCTTCAAAAAGACGGTCTGCCTTCTGTATCAAAATCGACACATCTATTGCTCTCTTCACAAATGCTAACCGCATGTTAGCGGCTTTTATTTTATCATAATTTTATCGTCTACTGAAGTATGCTCTTCTTTTGTGCCTCTGTTAAGAACCACTTTTGTACAGCTGTATAAAGCAAATCACAGCCTTTACAAGAATATTGAAGATGGCTCCATTAAACATTTCAGTATAGAATATAAATCAAACCTAATAGCGATCCCAGTCATTTTCTTCATTAGACACTCTATTATGGACTCAATTTTGGTGATAATATTTCATGTTTACATTAAGATTTTTCAGCACTTTCCTTTTTTTTCAATTCTATAAGACACATCCAATGATTTAGATAAGATTCCATTTTTTTTTTCATTTTTTACCTAACATTGAAATAGGAGTGGATCAAAGAAATGTCTTAGATGATATTAGTGAACTGCATGCCTGTGCTTTTCTTAACGACTAAAATATAACAAGTTATTTCAACTCTAGCATTAATATAATCTTCATGTGACTTAATGAATTTAATGATCGAAGCCCTGAATCACTCTGCTACAAGGAACTAAATGAAATCACATTTTTGTAGTTTATGCGACAGTATCTGTTGAACCAATATCTACGGTACAATGCATTCAGACATCAGTACGGCACTATGTCAATTCAAAATAAACTGACATCATCTGCTAATTGAAACAGGCACATAGGGCCCCTTGATTTCATTGTTATAGCTGTTTCTGAATTCATTATTGATTTCCATACTTTTTGTCTGTCAAAATGTAATTGAATTTATCAAACAAAGCAACGTTGCAATTCATTACGATGAAAATTTTATCTGACAGCAGTGATTATTTCAGAATATCTCTCTTGTCATTTTATTTTTATTAATCTAATGGACAGGGTCAGGTACCACCCATCATAACACTTTAATTATAATTTATCATTAGGTATCTGAGAGAGAGAGAGAGAAAGAGAGAGAGAGAGAGAGAGAGCAAGGGAGAAGAGAAAGAGAGAGGAAAAACCATGCGAGAGAGAGAGAGAGAGAGAGAGAGAGAGAGAGAGAGAGAGAGGAATTCCTCCTGTAAGATACTTACTTTGTTAATCTGCCTCCATGCATGTAACCAAGTACCCAGTCAAATCTATACTGTGTTTTTTTCTTTAAACAGCTGTCTGCAAATCTTTACATAAGAGATTCCACATTAACATTCCTCCGTTTGTAAAATCCCTGGCTGCACAGGATTTAATGTCTGTAAGAAAACCCAATTATATCCAGGTTATTTGTACATAAACTAAACGCACATTCGACCCTGGGCAGGCATGTTAAACAATCTTAAAGCACAACACATCATACAAAGGGACAGGCAAGGATATTCCGAAAATCTTTTTGTACCCTGGGGGCGGGGGATTCTTACAATCTTCAGGCTTAGCATGCTTATATAATTGAAACAAGAACATATTTTTAGATTCTTTCATGTCTGATTAATCTTCAACTTAATTTTAAATACAGAAATAAAAATTGTGTTCATCAGAAAATGCAAAAAATTAAATCTCTTTCTTTCCAAGTGATTACTTGGGGAATCGGTTTCTGGCATGGTATAATTTTACCCTGAGATTATACCATTTAATACCAGTGATTAAGCATAGCACCAACAGTCTCAGCCATTGAACACTTCTGCATAATTTGAAAATACTTCATGCATCATCTTGTTAAAATGTGATTTTCAAAGATTTTATTGTTTTGTAATGTTTTCTAAGAGAAACAAAGGAGAGAAAAATACAATTTAAAACACCCTTGTCCTACTTAGTGATATTGAAGATTTTTTTAATTACCATGAAAATGCTAGAATTTTTCCATTTTTCGTGAGAAATATTTTGTTGTTCCCACTGGGAACCCAGGGTTCTAAATGCAACAATAAAAGAAAATGTACTATATTAGATTGATAATTTATCAATATACATATGCGTACTTAGAAGTAATTAGTGTCTTGAGATATTTCAAGTTATTCATGAATTAGTTCATTATTGCATATATTAGCAGTTAGCAAAGAAAATAGACTAAAATTGGCCAAAATTTAAATTGGCAGTGCATGTTACATTCTTATCATGAGACTGTCACGGTAGCGAATATTTCTTACCTTCAACAATCTATATACAGTACATGTATGTGGGATCATATATATACATTTAACCATTGATCATGTGTATTGATAAATTTGAAAAACATTAGAAGAATCAAGACAATCTGTTCTTTGGGTCTAATCTTTTGAAAATTTTCATATAAAAGGGACTCGCTTCCTCCAGGAAATTGAATATCAAAGAGACCCAGGAATTTTATTTGCATCAGCTGCACCGATCAATATAAAATTACCACTGCATTCACAAAAGAAATGCCTGCTTCCAATCCGTGCACTAGACTGGTGTACAAGTTCTTGTGATGTTGGTTATTAGGGGGAGCTAGGTATGGAAATTAACATGAGTCATCTCATTGTGAACACATTTTCCAGCATCAAGCACCAGTAAATGTTACAGGCAAAACACATTTAGTCATGAAGTAGTCATGAAATATTAAAATTAATATACTCAGAGATACACAAATCATGACTAACAATACACCCTGCATTGATGAATCTAATCATTTGTGGTGTGAACCGATATTTCAACGAAAATCAATCCTTCTTCAAAAATTTTACTGGTTGTAAAAAAAGATATTTAATGTAGAAAATTTACAGAATATACAACTTAACTTTGATATGAATGCATGTAGTACAGTAACCATTCATACATGACATAATCAAATACATGAAATTATAACTAAAGGATGTCAAAACAACGCAAATGTATCATATATATTACAATTATATATATACCTGAAACATTCCCCTTCAGTAAGAAAAAATATTCAAGTCGCACAATATTATGATTAATTACAGTATAACAGGGTTTAACTACAACATGACATACCAGTATTTTGTACACATTTTAAACTGTGGAAGAATTCTGCAGCCATTCTTATTTATCTATAAAATATTTTTGTCCTCTCTTTCGTGAAAGCAAGCAGGGTACATTAAATCTCATTCATCTGACACAGTCTGTTCATCCGTCATAAAAATTTTCATACATGTCCAAGAACGAATCCGATGTCGATATCGACGATATCGTCAATATTATGTCGATATCTTATCAATATCGATCATGATGAGCACTATTAATTTGAAATACTTGGTACAAGAAATGAGACTTTTGCTACGTCGATGTCGTCGATATCGACAATACCGTGACGATATCGATCCTATTTGTAGAATTTATTTTCAAATGAGGTGTAACATACTTTTACAAGGTTACAGGTGATTCATTCATTATTAGCATGAATATAAAGTTAAATTATGATAATGAAAGGGTTAGTTGTTGTTTTTGTTTTGGATTAGGTTTAGAGTATGATGTTGGGCGAGGGTGAAAGTTGTTAAATATGTTTTAACAATCATGATTCGATATCGTATCGACAATATCGACAGTAGGGTAAACTAATTAATCAGAAAGTTAAAATGCACAAGCATTGCATGAAGAAACAGAACTTATTGTCATGGGATATGTCAACCAGAAGTCTCTGTCGAGACTGAAGCTCTACTGGTTTGTACTTATAGCAAAAGGAGAAAAAAGTACTTAGGCAGTTGGGAATTGAAACTTTTCAACAGCAATTAATAGAAAAATGATCCTTGATTTAGCCTCTTTATGTTTTAGTGTAGTCTACTTGCATGCCACATTACATTATAATCAGACTAAAACTGTATTTGGAGTAGCATTTTGAGTGTATTAAACAGAAATTTCTATTTTTAGTAACCGTGGCAACAATTGAAGTGAAAAACTATACACAGAATTATGTACCTGAGTCTAATTATATTGAAATCAGACCAAAACTGTAGGAGGTGTAGCATTTTGAAATAATTTCACAGAAATTTCTATTTTTAGTAGCCACAGCAACATCGTTCATCGAAATCAAAAACCGTTACACAGAATTATGTATCTTAGTGTAGTCTACTTGTGTGCCAAGTTAAATTGAAATCAGACCAAAACTGTAGGAGGAGTAGCATTTTGAAAGAATTTCACAGAAATTTCTATTTCTAGAAGCACGTCAACACAGTTCATCGAAATCAAAAACTGATAAATAGATTTATGTACCTTAGTGTGTTCTACTTGTGTGTCAAGTTATATTGAAATCAGACCAAAACTGTAGGAGGAGTAGCATTTTGAAAGAATTTCACAGAAATTTCTATTTTTAGTAACCACGGCAACACCGTTCATCCAAATCAAAAACCGATACACAGAATTATGTATCTTAGTGTAGTCTACTTGTGTGCCAAGTTAAATTGAAATCAGACCAAAACTGTAGGAGGAGTAGCATTTTGAAAGAATTTCACAGAAATTTCTATTTTTAGAACCACGGCAACACCGTTCATCCAAATCAAAAACCGATATACAGAATTATGTATCTTAGTGTAGTCTACTTGTGTGCCAAGTTATATTGAAATCAGACCAAAACTGTAGGAGAAGTAGCATTTTGAAAGAATTTCACAGAAATTTCTATTTTTAGTAACCACGACAACACCGTTCATCCAAATCAAAAACCGATACACAGAATTATGTATCTTAGTGTAGTCTACTTGTGTGCCAAGTTATATTGAAATCAGACCAAAACTGTAGGAGAAGTAGCATTTTGAAAGAATTTCACAGAAATTTCTATTTTTAGTAACCACGGCAACACCGTTCATCGAAATCAAAAACCGATACACAGAATATTATGTATCTTAGTGTAGTCTACTTGTGTGCCAAGTTATATTGAAATCAGACCAAAACTGTAGGAGGAGTAGCATTTTGAAAAATTGTTTACAGACGGATCTGAAGCCAGCCGGACGACGGAGCATTATATCGCATAAGCCTTTAATAAAAATAAAGATTTTTGTATTAGGGTGAAGGTTGGTGAAGTAATATATCCATGCAATCGTTATCGACGATATCGATGGTAAAATTTTCGAGCTAATTAAACATAAATACACTTACAAAGTAACAGGGACGGTTGAGAAATGAATATTGAAGCCTGTCGATATCGAAAACACTACAGGGAAAGTTTCATAAAAGATGTTTTTAAGTAACACATGTTAATACAATACTAGTAAAATGTAATTCTTTGAACAATCATGTCAGGCACGATATTGACAGCATCCAGAAAGCATTGTAATAAACACACAAAGATGGAGAAATATTTAAGTAAACTATGAAAAAGTAATGTGTCGATATCGTAACTACATCGTGTCTTGGACATAACTCAAAATTTTAACCTTGGTTATATCTTTTGAATGAGAAGAGATAGGACTTTCATATTATACATGTATATTACTTGTTACAAGACCTTTCTAAATACACTATGATTTTTGACCCTGTGACCTTGACCTTGAAGGTTACCTATTAAAAACATAGGTAATCAGAGATTTCAGAGCTCACCTCAACGAATGTTGTCTTTAAGTAAGGCAAAGTCACACAATTACCCAACAAAAAGTGTAAATCCAAAAATGCAACATTTATGAAATTTTGATCTGATACTTTGGAACAGACCTATATAAAAACTTCAAACTAGTTCTTCATCACGAAAATGTGATCAAAATCCAGCATCTGAAGCAAGTTTAAGTTTTCATCCCTTGATGCATAATTTGGGCAAGTTTGGTTTATATAAGCCTTATAGTTTCTTGGTGATAGACCTGCACCCATAACTTTTTACTTGGTCCATTATCTGGAAAATGTATGTCGAATTCAGCATGTATCATCCATGCGAGTTTGCACAATATAGGGCTAATAGTTACTTAGAAATGAAACCTGCATAAAAATTTAACCTCTTCACTCATCCAGAAAAAAAAAGTAGGTCAGATTCAGCATCTGAAGCCAGCCTGGTAGAATGCAACCTTAGATGTACCATCCATGCAAGTTTGGTCATGAAAGAGCTATAGTTATATCAATCCTGCATCAAAACTTTAACCTGTTCACTCATCCAGTGTTCAGATTAAGTCAACATAGGCATCCTAAGATGTATCATCCATGCAAGTTTAGTCATTATAGGGCTTGGAAATGAGACCTGCCCCAAAAACTTTAATCTGTTCACTCATCCAGAAAATGAAGGTCAGATTCAGCATCCGAAGCAAGTGTGGTAGTATGCATCCTAAAGATGTACCATCCATGCAAGTTTGGTCATTATAGGGCTCATTGTATCTTGGAAATGAACCCTGCACCAAA